CGCCAAGTTGGAAAGCGCGGGTTATCACATGGGAACGCGGGACGTCTACGGATACACTGACGACTTCGAGGACCTAATGGACCTCGCCGGATTCAAAGACGCATTGGTTAAGGTGACCAAGTACCGCCATGGACTTGACCCCCTGATCAACAATGGCATCACGTCCTCGAACGACCCCCCAGACCTCCGTGACTATCTGGGCTGGCGCACTCGGGCTTTCCGCCAATACAAAGCCTTGGTGCGGGCGAAGCTCATCAAAGGGACCACCCCGCGGACGCCTTCGGGGGCTCCGCGTGGCGCATTCCCTATCGCCCGTTCGGCAACTCCATTCCCCATCCGCCCGGTGGCCGCACCTGCGCCACCCGCGGCCCGCGCCCCCGTCTCGGTACCTCCGGCTCCCGTCCCTATGGAGTTGGATCGTACTAGGGCTTGGGGCGCCCCTCGTCGAGCCTGCTTCAGATGTGGCGACCCCAACCACTTGGCTCGGGATTGTCCGCTCCCCGCCGATGTTCGCCATGTGGACATCCTTGACAAGGTAATCCAGCAACTTGGCGACGAGATGCTGGGAGAGCTGCTTGCGCGGCTGTCCGATACCGCGGCCTTAGCGGAGGCGCATTCGGAGGCTCCGGCAGAGGATTTTGTCCCCCGCGACGAGTGACTGGTGTGCCCTCGTTCGCGTCCATAAATCGTTTCACTTGTTTGTATGATGAATCAACTCCCTTGCCCTACAACGAGCCCGAAACGAAAGACGCGCCCCCTGCCCCCTCCGAAGCCCCCGTTCGGATCCGCCGACTTGCCTGGGAGAAAAAGCTACCTGGCAGCTATACCATCTCTGCCGCTCCTGGGGTTACCTCGCTCCACCTTCCTCTCGAACTTGAGTCCACTGCAAATGCGCTCAAGCTCTCCCTCTCGGGTCTGGTCGACTGCGGAGCCACTTCGGACTTTATCGACACAGAATATGTCAACCGAAACAACGTGCCAGTCCGAAATCTCTCAGTACCCATACCGGTCTACAATGTCGACGGTACTCCCAATCATGCTGGGTCTATTCGCCAAATCGCGGACCTCGTTCTACGGTACAACGGACACTCCGAACGCGTTCAGCTGGCTGTAACCCACCTTGGGAAACAGGATTTGATACTCGGATACTCCTGGTTCAAGAAACACAACCCCGAGATCAACTGGGAAACGAAAGAGGTGAAAATGAGTTGATGCCCCCGAAGCTGCTCCACTTGCCGCGACGAGGAACGGACCGAGCGCGCTGAGGTTCGGCGCCTCCGACTCCTCAAATCGCGCTTGCTCTCGGGCGCCTTCCCCACCGTTTGCGCTATCGATATTGCCGGTCCAGACGAGGCTGACGACGAACTCAGAGCGACTGCGGACCCTCCGAGTCCCTCGCCAGACCTCGACGACGACGAGCATCTTGAAGATGGCGACCGCATCTTCTACACCTCCTTTCGCCCAATCGAGGAGATTCGCGCTGGGAGCACCGTGTCCCAACGCCTTGCAGAGACCTTCGCCCGTAACTTCGGCCCCCCCGCCTTCGGAAATTCCGGACTGGGCCAAGGAGTTCCAAGACGTCTTTGACAAGGAGTCCTTCGACACGTTACCAGAGCGGAGGGCTTGGGACCACGCTATCGAACTCGTTCCCGACGCAAAGCCCGCTAATTGCAAGGTGTATCCGATCTCCCCCCTTGAACAGCGGGAACTTGACGAGTTCATCGAGGAGGGACTTGCCACCGGCCGTATCCGCCCTTCGAAATCTCCGATGGCCTCCCCCGTCTTCTTTGTTAAGAAAAAGGACGGAGGACTTCGGTTTGTCCAGGACTACCGCGCTCTCAACGCAATGACGATTAAAAACCGGTACCCCCTCCCGTTGATTAATGACCTTATCAACAGGCTCAAGGGTGCCCGTTATTTCACTAAACTTGATGTTCGTTGGGGCTTCAATAACGTCCGGATTAAAGAAGGAGACGAGTGGAAGGCGGCCTTTCGGACTAACCGAGGGTTGTTCGAACCTTTGGTGATGTATTTTGGCCTGACAAACTCCCCTGCGACTTTCCAGACGATGATGAATGATATTTTCCAGGATCTCATTCTTTCAGGAGACGTTATGATCTACCTTGACGATATCCTTATCGCACATTCGGACCTCCGTAAGCACCGCGAGATCGTCCGCGAAGTCCTTCGGAGACTCCGAATGCACAACCCGTACCTTCGCAAGGAGAAGTGCGACTTCGAGAAATCGTTGATCGAGTACCTGGGGGTTATCATCTCTCACAACCACGTCGAAATGGATCCCGTTAAGGTCGCCGGAGTCTCCGCATGGCCTCCGCCCGAAAACAAGAAGGACGTCCAGCAGTTTCTGGGGTTTGCTAATTTCTACCGCAGGTTCATTCGGGATTTCTTGGCCCTTGCGCAGCCTCTCTTTGCGCTCACCAAGAAAGACCAGAAATGGACCTGGGGAGACGCCGAAGCCGCCGCCTTTCAAGCTATCAAAGACGCGGTCGTCTCAGAGCCCGTCTTAGCGATCCCAGACGACTCTCGGCCTTTCCGACTGGAAGCAGACAGCTCAGATTATGCGACGGGGCGGTTTTTTCACAACAATCCGCCCCAGACGGGAAGTGGCACCGTGTAGCGTTCTATTCCAAAAGCTTAAATGATGTCCAGCGCAACTACGAGATTCACGACAAGGAGATGCTCACGATCATCCGCGCACTCGAGGAGTATCGGCATTTCCTCGAGGGCGCCGCGCATCCGGTCGAGATCTGGACTGACCATAAGAATTTGGAGTATTTCCGAAAGGCACAGCACCTTAACCGTCGGCAAGCCCGATGGTCGTTGTACCTTTCTAGGTTTGACTTCACGCTGCACCACGTCCCAGGTTGCCAGATGGGCCGCCACGACGCTCTCTCCCGCCGGCCTGACCACGGCATCTCTGAAGACAACTCGGACGTCACCCTCTTGCGCCCTGAGCTATTCCACGTTCGTGCGCTTGAGGCCGTCACTGTCTCTGGGCCTGGGTCCGAACTTGTCCGCGACATCAAGGAAGCGCTATCCGGTGAGCCTGACCTAGAGGAGCCCGTCGCGCTTGCGGCCCGGCAACTCTTGAAGGTCCGAGGTCAAGTTCGGGGCCCTTGCTCATCACGTTCGGACGAGTGGGCCGTCTCGGGCGATCTCTTGTACTTCCGCGGCAAGGTTGTAGTCCCCAAAGACAAGAACATAAGTAGGCGCATCATCGAGCTCTGCCACAACACGCGAGTCGCCGGACACGCCGGTCGGTTCAAAACCCTAGAGCTGGTTTCGCGCAACTACTGGTGGCCACAGATGTCCCACCATATCGGACGCTACGTCGCGGCCTGCGACTTGTGCTGCCGCACGAAGGCCCTCCGAAGGCTCCCGCACGGAGAGCTACACCCGACCGAAGTCCCCCCCGCACCGTTACGGTGGACTTCATCGTCCAGCTCCCCGAGGCTCACGGGTACGACGCGGTCATGGTAGTCGTCGATGCTCTTGGCAAACGCGCTCACTTCACTGAGTGCCATACGACAATAGACGCGGTCGGAGCCGCCCGGTTGTACTATCGGAATGTCTGGAGGCACCACGGAACCCCCGAGAAGTACATTTCGGACCGTGGTTCGCAGTTCACTCTACGGCTTACCACCCGCAAACCGACGGACAAACCGAACGCGTTAACCAAGAGCTCGAGCAGTACATCCGGATCTTCACCAACTACCAACAAGACGACTGGGACGAGCTTATCCCTGCCGCTGAGTTCGCCTATAACAACCACGTTCACTCCTCCACTCAACAGGTACCCTTTATGACGGACACTGGTCGGCTCCCTCGAATGGGTTTCGAGCCAGGCGCCCGCTCAGAGTTGGAGTCGGTGAACGAGTTTCGCGACCGGATAGCTAACGGCGTCTCCGAGGCAAAGGCCGCGCTCGTTAAAGCCAAAGACGAGTATAAACGGTACTACGATCGGAAACGTTCGGACACTCCGAATATTCAAGTTGGTGATAAGGTTTGGTTGGACGCTTCTGACATTAGAATGACTCGGCCCTCCGAGAAGTTCTCCCACAAGCGCCTCGGACCGTTCAAGGTGCTTGCAGAGGTTAGCAAAGGTGCCTACAAGCTCGACCTCCCCCCGCGTTACTCCAAGCTCCACCCCGTCTTCCCCGTTGTTAAGCTCGAGCCCGCTCAGGACGACCCCTTCGATGGACGACCCGGCTACGACGAACCGCCCCCCGAACTAAAGGACGGAGTCCCCGAATGGGAAGTCGAGGAAATCTTGGATGCCAGGATAAGGTATAAGCGTCTTAACTATTTCGTCAGGTGGAAAGGCTACGATGCTTCACACGACTCGTGGGTTCGGTTCGACCGTGTCTTTGCGCCAGACAAGATTGCGGACTTCTATCGGAGGTACCCGGGTAAACCACGGCACATCGCCTCAGCGACCTTCGACTCCTTGCCCTTTCGAAATATGCGTCGGGACGCTGCATTCAAAGGGGGGGTGATGTCAGGGGAACCCCGCTTCGGCCTCCTTCGGACCCTCCGAACGCATCCGAGGCGCATCCGACCGGCGCCCCCTCGGACGCTCCGACCCACCCCAACCATCGTCCACGGCCTCCTTCGCCCGCACAATCACCGATCCGTCAAGACCCTCCCAACGATCACCTTGGGACAGAGCTTGCGACGCCGCTCAGGCCTTCTGCGCTCTACGTCGGCAGTTACGGACGACCAGTATATAGTTGGCGCCCTAGCAGGCGGACCCTTAGAGTTTCTTCTCTTTGGATCCTCCCTGCTAGGTCGGTCCCTCCGTGTATTTCCGTAGCTTCTATTCACGCTTTGGATCCTCCCCTGCTAGGCTTTCGTCGGAGTCTCCAGGGTTGCCCTTACAAGGGCGGGCTTTGAAGTTTAAAAATGAAAATTTAAACCGCGCTAGGCGGGGGCCTACACTAACTAGTACAAGAAAGGATTAATGTACATTATGAACTTTTCTACGCCTTGATGACGCTCGCGACGAAGAGGGCCGCCTTGTCGGTGAGGCCCTTGTTGCCGTACATGAAGTGCTGCGGGGTGAGGAGCGCGCGCTGCGGGGCGGTGGCGATGGTCTTGGCGAAGGCGGCAGCGGCGGTGACGAGCTGGCCGGGGAAGGCCGCGACGAGCTTCGCCGCGGCGGCGCTCTCTTGCGCGCCGACGGCGAGGCCGGGGAGCGCGGTGAACGGCGCGACGACCTCGCCGGGCGTGCGCGGCAGCTTCAGGTCGCCGAGGCCCGCGCAGAGCGGATCAGGCACGCTCCCGACGAAGCACTGCGAGTTGACCTTGACGCCCTTCGGCACGGGCGGGAGCTCCTTCGCGAACAGCCCCGATGGGTCGCCGAAGGTCACGAGGCCTTTAACTTGGGCGAGCGTCTCCTTGGCGAGGCCCGCGACGCCGCGGTGGGCGACGAGCGCGCCTTGCGACCAGCCGGAGACGATCAGCTGCGTGTCGGGGCAGGCCTGGTTGTAGAAGTCGAGCGTCTCCGCGAGGGACTTGCCGCCCGCGGGCGAGCCCGCCTCGCCGAGGTACCCGAGGAGGGTGGCCTTGTAGTCGGTCGCGCTGACGCCCTGGAAGGCGATCGTCTTGCCGGGCAGCGACTTGGCGAGCGCGGCCTTGAACTGCGGGCCGACCCACACGCCGATGTTGCTGGAAGGCCGGTTAGCAGAGGACATGGTGATGAAATGAACGCACCCGGAGTCGAAGGTCCCGCGCGCGAAGATGACGCCGACGTCGGCGCACTCGCCTTTTCCGTTAAACAGGTCCTCCATGTCATTAGCTAAACGTAACTGAGTCAGCGTATCGTGTGAAGAGGACACAACGCCCACGCACCGACGTCGCTGACGCCTGCCCGGCGCATGATGGGGCTCGCCATCGTCACGGCGAGGAACGCAGAAAAGGTCGTCAAGAATCCTTTCATGGCGTGTTGAATAGAAAGTGGTAGGCGAAGGCGAAGAAAAAAAGTGGGCGCGGGGCGAAAAGAAGAAGAAGAATGGGCCCCTCGCCGTGCACCGCCGTTTATATTGCGTTTGGCCGTGTGCGGATCACCGGGGGGATCGACGCTGAGAAGATCAACGCTGCATGCAAGTGCAACGGTCAGCGGCAGCCGGTCTCTGCTCCGCTACACACACACCGAGAAGTCGCCACGAGCAAGCGCTGCCCTCCAGACCTATACCGCCCGCGTACATGCCAGGCCGGGCGACGGGGAGTCGGGACGGCGCGCGCTGGCTTGGCCCTGCCTTAACCACGGGTCCCGCCATCAAATTGCCGCCGGCGCTGACCCCTACAGCCCCTGCGATCGCGATTCGTCGCCGACGACGGGAAGCGCTGCCTCCTTCTAATCGTCTAATCAGCTGCCCCAGGCTGCCCCTGTTTGTTTGGGCGGAACTCTGGTTTCTAATTCATTCCAGGCCAAGGTCGATCGTCGACCCACCTGGGGCCCACACTTGGTGGACGCTTGGAGACGCTTGGCCACACTCGACGACACCGTAGTGGCCGAGCATCCGTGCAGCCGCAACGCATTCCTCATCAGCGCGCTCCCGCGCGCCGGCCTCCTCCTAATCATGTGGCTCCCGTGTCCTCGATTACCTCCAAAAGACTACACATCCACGAGTGGCGGGCAGACGTGCCCCTTCAACGGAAAAGCAGAAGAAGCGAGGAGGGCGTCCGTGTCACGGGCGTCAAGGAAACGCCGGCGCCCATCAGCGCTCACATAGAAGCAGCGGCTGTGATCAATGATCATGCGCATGAAGCCCAGCCACGGCAGCCGCGGCATAAAGACACTTACGCATGGTGCGCTCCCTGTGCCAAGCGTGGCGCTCTCGAATGCAGTCATACTTACTATGATGTGCATCACAATTGAAAATGGGACATACAATTGAAAATCCGCGATAAAATAGCCAATTCTCAACGGATAGCCATTTAAAGTAGTGCATCAGAAAGCGTTGATTAGCCCCAGTCCAACAGTACTAAAATTTTGAGAACTTTCTGAGGAGCATGGCTAAAAGCCTCCCATCTCGTTGATCACCTCAGCTGTCTACCGTGGAAATGGCATAATCTGACCGTCGGTCTCACAGAGTGGCTTCACTCAAGTAAACAACGCAAGATTCAAAAGGAATCTCAGTGAAATCTGCTGTACAAGGCGAGACGGCAAAAGAAAAGAGGCCTACGTTACCCCCCTCCTCCTCAAACCATTCTGGGCAGAATTCTTTCCCGGAGAACACAAACCCTGGGTTGATGGCAGTTCCATCTGCTGCGACACACTCAATGATGGTCACCAGCTCCAGATTACTGCTGCTAAAGCGGTACAAAGTGTGAACATTTTTATTCTTGGCAAGGCTGAAGGAAGTACTTGCGACTGCTAGCCTTCTTCCCTCCGCCCTGCTGGACACCCTTCTCATCCATATTGTACACATTTTCGACCGGAATCTCGTTGTCATGAATGATCTTCTCGAGTATCTCTATGGGCGGTATACTGTATCAAAAGTTTTTCACAACTTTCAACTTTTTTTTTTCAGACTTTTTAGAGACAACTCCAGGCAAGGTGTTTCCAGCTAAAACAACTGCCAGAGGGATTAATACAACTTGTGATTTATAACAACATCTTTCATTTTCTCAACTACAATCTCAACTTTTTTATATAGCAACTTCTTTCCAGAGCAACTACAACTTTGAATTTGTTAGTTGCAGGTTTTCAATATGCAGAACAACTTCAAAACTATGCTGTTGCTACACGAAGAGTGATTGTTACTCTGAGTATGACTGCAACTACTAGACAGTGGTGGTGATTGGAACAGGAGGTTCATCTGACACATTCAGAAAGAGCTGGCAGAAATTTGTCATATTTTAGGCATTCTCACCTGACATCATCAATCTAACAAAACAAATTACTAGCTAACTGAAACAGACAAACGGAGAAAATTAACTGTGCCTAGGCTCTGTGCTTGTTTCTGAATAGTCTGAGATTTTATTAACTCCCAGGAGATTCCAATTAATGATGGGAATAAATTTAATGAACTCCCATATTACATAAATGAATTAATTAAATCCTCTACTAGAAATTCCTAGCTTCTGTTAATATCAGAGTCAAGTTTTAAAGAAAGTTGCACCAGGCTTGTTGAAAGTTGCAGTATAAGAGATTGCAAGTTGCACATGCTTTTCTAAAGTTGTAAGTTGCATGTCCAAAGTTGCAATAAGAAGTTCAAAGTTGCAAGTTGTTCCTGTTAAGTTGCTGCAGGGAGTAAGAGTTGTCAGCCATGAAGTTGTGCATGAAAAGTTGCAAGTTGTGCACAAAAACAACCAGTTGTATCATTGAGTTTTGAATAAAATCAAAGTTGTACCCAAATGCTCACTGTTTTGGGTAGAAGTTGTACTAAAACTTTTGATACAGTATACGGCCCATATATCTCGAAGTAGCGGCCAACAACAGGACGATTGAAAGCTTGAGCGCGTTTGGGGTCGAGTGCGGCAACCTTGCCCAGTGTGATGTCAGGATTGCGATCCAAAAAGTCTCGAAGCCAGGTCTTGCTCGGCACCCGACCAGTCATGCCCTTGACAATTGAGCGCACACAAGACTTGTCGACTGGATGGCCCGTTGCAGCCAGGAAGATCCGCCAGTCAAAAAGCGCAGCTTCTTGCTCATCGGAGAGAAGCCGTTTTTCAGCGTGTGATTTGGTGCGAGAACGTGTGAAGCCTTGAAAACGATTGTGTAGTGTTGTGTACTTCACACCAAGCTCTGCTGCAACCTGTGAGACATTTGGTCGGAGCATTTGTCGCAGCCGAGCAACACCAGCCGCCAGTTTGCGTTCCGTTTCGTCAGCAGTCATGGACCCTGTCTCCGAGAAAGAATTGAGTCTGAGGCCTGAGGTTGCTGTTCGCTCGCGTGGGTCTTGGCACTCTGACGGCCGGCAAGTCGGGTGAGTGCTAAGCGAGCGGACTTTGAAGTTGTCACGCTCAAAGTCGGCACCGACACATCGCGCCTTGTACAGCAGATTTCACTGAGATTCCTTTTGAATCTTGCGTTGTTTACTTGAGTGAAGCCACTCTGTGATGCTGATGGGAAACTGACGGTCAGAAGCATCACGATTATGCTATTTCCACGGTAGACAGCTGAGGTGATCAACGAGATGGGAGGCTTTTAGCCATGCTCCCATTTTCAATTGTGATGCACATCATAGTATCCCTGCAGCAATCATTGATCAGAACAAGCACTCGTTTCAGGAATGGAAAAGGAATATACAAATGCAGAGGCCGGGCCCCGCCCGCCATGCCTTTTTCCATCTTCTGGTGTATCCGCTGCGCCGCGTCGCTGGGATGACCGGAGATGTCATGCAAACTCCGGGTGGACTGTCGGTGGAGAAGATGATGCAGTGATGTCCAATCAAACGCCGCCGAGTGCTCTATAGAGTTCACAGATGATGATGTTTTAATGTGCCAATTTGACATATGCAAGTTGTACTTGTCGAATCCTAAAGTCACTATATCCGGCGATGAAGACTTGTCGATGATTAGATAAGATTGTGCGACCGATAAAAGCACCAAAAGCAAGCGAACATTCCGAGCATATATTTGGATGGTCCTGCCCGATCGGAAGGGGGAGCAGAGACTGGAACGATCAGTGCGGCATGCACACTCCTCTGAGTATCTCGAGCTCGAGAAGCGAAAGACTTCATTCGGGCAAATCGGGCCACGCGTTTCCGGGCCGCTATCCAACTCGGGAGTTGGTCCTGCTGCAATTAGCGTGCCAGCGCGAACAAGTAATTTGCGGCCACGCGCACCTGCTTCGCGGCCGAAATCGCGCACGCGGGAAGCCGGGGTGCTGTTCGGCCGGGCGTCGAAGCACCGGCGGAAGCCTAAACCAGCAGAAAGCCAAAAGCGAGCCGCGTCTTCTCTTCTCTCCTTCGTACCCTCACCATCTCTGGGATGGCTCTCCGCCTCGTCGCCGTCGTCGCCTGTGTCGCCAGTGCGCTGGCTGCGCCCGGCCCGCCAATTGTGTCGAAATGCGTGCAGGGCTGCCTGGACAACGCCGCGAAGAACTCGGTCTGTCATGTCCCGTACGTATCCGGCTCAAACACCCTCTCCAGACCCCGATGACGCCCCCGCAGCACAAACCTCCAGTGCGCGTGCACGGACGAGACGTTCCAGACCATCGCGGCGGAGTGCATCACGAATACGTGCCCGCCAGAGGATCTGATGGCCGCGTTCCAGCTGCAGCAAGAGGAGTGCGCCGCCCGTGCGTTTCGTTTTCTCGTACACAATGGTGAGCTGAAGAAGAAGACGGACAGTGTCGGCCCCACACTCGAGCCCGACCGCCACGACCACTCTCAAAACGACGTCGACGGCCACCCACCCGCATACGTCGACTACGGCGACTACGGGTAAGCCGGGGAGCAGCGTCAAGCCCGCGTCACCAACTCAAACGGGCCACGGCCCGACGTCCACTGGCACGAAAATCAGCATTGTTCCGCCGACGGTAAGCCTAACACTCACCTGTGGTGCAGACCCTCATGGCCTTGTAGAGCACGACTGAAGTCTCCCCTCCGCTCTCCGTCACAGCAGACACCTCTGCCCTCGCGTCCTTGTCCACGGCCATCTCGGACTTCGCGTCCTCCGCCGCCAGCGCCACGTCCGGCGTCGCCAGCACCAGCACCGCGGCCGTGCAGAAGAACGGCGCCGTCGCGGAGCGCATGGGCGGCGCGGGCCTGGCCCTCGTCGGCGCTGCGCTCGTCTTCCTCGTGTAACACGTGTCCCGCATCCAAGTGGGGGGCGGAGAAGGAAAAAGTCGGATTCTTGTCTAAAACTTCTTGTATTCCGTCGTTAGCTCCGCGTCGCGTCGTCCGAGTCGGAGCAAACCTCGTTTCTGCGTTGTTTACCTGCTGTGTGTGCGGCCTCTTCCACGTCGACGCTCCATTCGAGATGGCC